GGAAAAAGTGTAGATTTTTAGAGTGAGTACTTCATGAAAAAATACTATTTACAAAGTTTGAAAGCTCTGGGAAGTGTAAAAAGAAACCTGCATTAGCATGGAAATCCTCTCTAGTGATTAGGAATGGTTCTCATAAGAGAACGGAAGAGGATCAAGGGAAATACATTTCTTCAATGATCCCTGGTTTGGAGACGAGGGCTCGGCGCTATTCTGTTAATAAAAAATAAATACATTTTTTAAAACGCTATGCCCCCCCCCCCCTGCGAAATCAGCAAATCAATATACAGACGAATCTGAGTCGCCACTTTTTAAGGCTAAATGTCCCGAAAAATACTTTTAGGTTCAGTAACCCGCAGCAGTCACGGGAAATTTCATTACTGATATCTTTTAAACAAATGGTTTGATTTTCATCCAGTAAGCACAAATTATTCGTATATTACATATAATATACGCTACAAAGACCCTTCGAAAAAAATAAAAAATAAAAATGAGTTTTGGAATAGTTCCGGGAAGAAATTAAAAATGTAGGCTGATTGCGCGATGGCGAAGTGCTGCTTGAATCCAACGTTGTGTCAGTCGCTCAGATCGGATGAATAGAAGTGTCGAAAGTGAAATTTGGCGAAATATAATGCCCCTCTCCCCAATGCTGCCGCCGCTAGCGCGTGGGTACCTGTTCCGGTCGGGGGCCGGAGGCATGCGGTTCTCTTATGCTCCGACCGGGTTTCGTCAAGTAATGCTTTCGCTACTCTCCGCAACCCAACATACTAGTATACGTACATATATACGGATAAATATGTGTTTTAAAGAACGTTATGTATTGCTGTGGAAAATATACTTCCGGATTTCAACGGAAATGCGTGTTTGGGGCCTCCTGATACCAAAAAAGTTATTCCCCCCCCCCTCCAAAAAAGTTCGTCGGTCTGTCTCACCATCTGTTAACAACACTAGCGCCTAAACTATTTCTAGATTTTTTTTCGAAAATGAATACTCTACGGTCGATCTTGCCTGTCTCAAAGCTTACCGAGTTTGAAAAAGAATCTTCAAAGTTTCGGAATACTTTAGAAGCAGCTTCTGGAACATTTTTTTAAATTTTCTAAAAAATGGCTCCATTTTTTTCTTGAAATTTGTTGTAAGAGTAGATTTAAATATGCTTCTAAAGATGGTCCGAATTTTACTGTTAACTTTGAATTTTTGGAAGTTACAAGAGTTTAAATTTTTCTGGGCATCTCTTCACAATTACAATATTAAAGATACATTTTTCTTCAAATGAAATTTGTTCTCTCTAATCAGTTTTGTCATTGACGTCTTACACATTTCTTTGAAACTTTTAGTGGATTTCGCGCAACATTGCGTGAAATATGTGCATTACAAATATATCAAAACCAAAAAGTCTCAAAAATGTTCCAATTTTTTCTTTCAACTTTGGTAGGGATACTGCTAAATTGACATAAATGCCATATTGCTGTATTCGTTTGTTTTTTCAAAACAGAATTGAAATTTTTTGACTTTTCTCACACGTTCTTTATATTTACATTACCGCCGACTTTTATACATGATTGCATTTGTGAGTGCTCGTACTTTAAATTATGTCGCATAAAGTTCCTAAAAAACTCCAAAGTATTCTGGGAAATTGAGCTCGCAGGCTGCATTTTTAGAAATAGTCAAACGCAAGTGTCTTAAAATTTTTCAAAAAAAAAAAAACAAACAAACAAAAAACAACAACAAAACAGTCCATACATGACGAGGTTTTACTCTTCTTTAGTATTCTTAAAGTCATGTATCGGTTTTATCATCAGAGGACCGAAAAATTGAAAGGGGAAAAAGTGAAAAAATGGTCTTTAGGTGACAATGGATGGCAGCTGGGAAGAAGGTGGAGCAAAACCGAAAATGTAGCCCAGAGCAAAGAAATTAAGAAGCAAACTAGTACGAGAAAGCCTTTGCCATTATGTAGTCCCACTAGTTTATATCTGTCAAAAATAATAATACTGGTGATATAATTGGGGCAGACGTTCTTGTATCCTCTGAAACCGAAGTATGGAACTGAATTTATCTTGAAAAGATGTGATTCCAAATAATTCCGATTTCTACCCAGTCATCCTTCGAACTCTTACCGTAAACTGAGGTGATCTGGTGGCTCAAGAATGATTATTAGCAGCAAGCGAGACAATCAGTATTAGTGAACTTGGTAAGATCAGTCGCTAAGTTGTTGCGAACCACAGTACCAGTGCCGCGTCGGAATTGGAATTATCGGACCTCTTCCTCACGAGGTCCGTAAAGGTAGTAAAGTTTTAAAAAACTCTAATCTTGTCGCTTTTTTGTTGTTAATTTGTTACGGAAAATAAATTCTGCTCTTCATTTCATCCTACTATAAATATTCGGCTAACTTTACATGAAGTTGGCACCGCAATTTCCAGAAAAGCAAGAATTTACAGAGGTAGATTAAAAATAACAAGGGAATTCGTGGCTTTTTGTTGTCTTAATACAAGAAGCAAATACAAAA